GAATGCCGACGTGGTCAAATGTGAAGACAACACAAAGACACTGAATACTATGCGTCGCAGTGGGCGAGCACGCTTTGCCCCGAAGGCGAAATCACCGGGAGCAACGCTTAAGGAAGAGTACGACAGTGCAACTGAGTCGGCAATGTCTTCATCGGAGAGCGAAAGTGAAAGCGAATCGGTAAGAAAGAGAAAATAAAAATTACCATGAATTTGATTGAGCGTGAACTTTGACCCATTACAGGGCTCAGATACCGACTCGGATAGCTCGAGCGAGGATACTTCCTCATCATCTGAAGAGGAGGGTGATGCGCATGCCATTTGCGGCGTTTGCCAGCGTGAGCAGAATCGCAATATGAAAAACCTGCCCGAGGTCTTTATACGATGCTACACATGTCAGCGCAGAGGTAATTCGTCGGCTTTGTAATTCGTATTCATGTTTTGATTTTACAATTTATGCCCTCTTTCCTTGCAGTGCATCCGAGTTGCATTGAAATGCCGCATCGCATGGTTGCGCGGGTGCGCAACTACAACTGGCAATGTGTTGACTGCAAATGCTGCATCAAATGTAGAGGAAAGAAGGATCAGAACAAAATGCTGTTCTGCGAGCAGTGCGATCGGGGCTTTCACATTTACTGCCTGGGCATCAAAGCCGTCACAGATAGTGAGTCCCAGAAAATCTCAAAACGCCTCATGACTGTATTAATAACATTCACTTTTTTTTTACAGGTCGCTGGAGTTGTGAACGTTGCAGTGTTTGCATGCGTTGTGGCGCCACAAAGCCAGAGGGTTTGCCACAACAACAAACCCAGATATCGCCGAATGGCGAGAAGGTCAAGCAGATCAAGCACAAGAAGGTCAAATGGATTAACGAGTATCGAATAGATCACATCACGAAACTGCGTGAGCATTGCTCCATGTTGTGTGTACCATGCGGGCGCGCAAAAGGTGCGAAGCGCGTGCAAATAGCCAGCCCATGCGTTAGCGGCACAACAGCGACGGCTGCTTCTAATCTGCCATCACCCCCCGCCACGGCGCAACAAAAGCAGCCAGCGAAAACATTATCGCAAAATCAAACAACGACCAACGCAGCCGCAGAAGCTGCAAATGCGAGTGTTGGAGCCGCCAGCAAAGCCGCTGCCTCTGCTGCATCTGCAATGAACAAAACCAGCGCTGCCGGCACGCTGCCACCGCCGCCGCCGCCCGTTGTTGCCTGAGTGGGGGTGATACGTTACTGCCCCAAGCGTAGTAGCCTAAACGCCAATATGTAGTAGCAGCAATAAGAAAAGGTCGCGTGATATGCTGGCGCACGCGTGAGCTGCACTGTATCACAGCGAGGAGCTTTGGATGTGTGAGATGAGAATGCAACTTCAAATTTTGCTAAAACATTCGCAAGTCCGAAGCAGAAATTTACATTTTGATTAAAGTTTAAGGAAAAATACGGTTTTTAATGCGCATAGAGCATATTATTGCATAGTTTACGACAAACTTGACGCCTTTTCATAAAACTTAACACTTAGTTTAGCATTTAATAACAACAAAAGATAATTTGTAATTTTTTTTTAAATTAAGTTAAATGTTCAGTTTCGTTTAATAAACCATATTTAATTATAAGCTCAATTTATGGAATATACGCGCGATTCACCTACGGTAAAATGTTAGGCCTAAACTAAAGGGTTAATTTATCCAATGTATTATAGTGCAAACAAAGAAAAAATAATATTAAAGAAGGGAAATGTTTCCGTACATAACTACAATAATAAAAATGAGAAATTTAAAACTAAAATAATATAACAAAATATTTGCCGCATGCAAACACAATCATGTCTATATAAAATGTCAAATAATGCACATAAGAGTTGATTTAAGTCTTAAGTAAAGCATCAAAAGCAAAAAATTTAAGCTAAAATAAAAATCTAACAAAATGTATCAAAAATATTTAACTAAATAATGTGTAAAGTTCTCTTTGTATACAACATTGTAAACTATTTGATGTTGCAAAAACTTATAGACAAGAAGAGTTTAAAGAGAAAAGAAGAAAGCAACCATGAGCTGATCAGCGAAAACTGCTCAAAGCGCTGAAGTGGCATTTTTCGGGAGATGGAATTCGAGTAGGCCTTCACTGGCTTCAAATACCATATTGTAAACTTATTTTTTACCGTAATTTTCTCAAGTAAGGTTTTTAAAACATGAGAAAAGCGCTTTTTACTACGTGCATTCTTGAGCAGCTAATTGGAATAATTTGTAAACTGTTATTAAGTTTTTTAATATTCATGAAATGCTTTATTTTTTCTCATTTTTTATCCAATGACATAATTTCCTGCTGCTGCAATGTTTTGAATGCTTCTTAAGAGCATGTCAGACGAGGCAATATTTCTAACTTTTCCATGCAATTCACTGTTAAATTGAGAGAAAGAAATTTTATTTCCGACCTTTCTGACACTTTGCGGGAAATAAGTTTCAGAAATTAATGTTGCAAGGTGTGACTGCAGCTCAAAGTGCGCCAATCGATTTCGCAAATATATTTCAACTTGCTCGTGCTGTACTAGCAATTTTTAGTTCTGCTGACTGCTGCAAGTGCTATCAAACTAATCGAGTGTTACCTTGTAACACTGATCGTGAGTTTGTGGGAAATAATAACGGATAATTTAAATAAAATAACAAATGCGTTTAAAAAATTATTTTGCGGTATTTAATTATTTAGCTATAAATAATAAACTAATCTTCAAATTGAAAGTAAAGTTTAAGAAAGAGAAATAGCAAATAACTAGCCAAGCGGCTCACGGTTGCATTTTAGTGCCGAGAAAGATTTCCAGATTCATTCGCTATGTGAACATCCAAAAATAGGTTTAAGAAATTTTTCCGGCGACTCGCCTTTCGGCAATAAAAAACTCCTTTCGAAAGCTACTTTACATCCAAGGTGCGACTGCTCATGCAACTGTAATTTGTAAATTTCTCAATTTGACAGTGTTTTCGAAATATCTTGCATTGTCACGTCTGACACGCTCTTTATTTACATGCTAAGCATTTAGTGTTTTCTAAATATGGGCATCTAATTATTTCAAGATTTCGCATTATCTTGAAGCACTTTCGAAATGCCACTACTTTTGTCTGCGATTATAAGGTTTGCGACCAGGTATGTAAATTTAGGAGTACTTCACAGTTTCAGGCTTGTTTTCAAAGCAGAATATAGTAAATAAATTAATAAAACGCGTACATATACATATGTATATGTATATAAATATATATATATATATTTAGATTCTCTCATGGATCCTGTATACTTTATTATTTTTTAAAAATTAGTTTTTAAATACCAACTAAGCATAAAGAAGCAAACGAATACATAAGTCTATGACAGAGAAGCGCACTGCCCGACTCTACACGCCCTCCCGCATCACGCAGTAGTTGTGGCCCATCGGCAGCGGCATGCGCTCTTATTATTAATTAACTGTAATAAAGTAATTCATTTACCCAAATAAATGCTATGATGATACTATATTAATGATATGACGATAATTATAATAAAAATAAAATACGCAGTTATTTTTCTACCATAATTTATTTTGCCAAAAATATGAATGTTGGAATTGGTATAAGCAAAAATTAAAAGAAGTCAGTATTGCTCTTCATTATAATAATGATTGATTTTGTTAAAATTTTCACATAATTTTTTTTTAAATAATTATTTCTCAATCAAGCAAAAAATCTTGATTAGCATCCTAAATGCATGAAATAGCCACACAGCCCAACGCTAACTCCAACAGAGACAGCAATTCGTGTCCTGTACTCCACAACAATAAAAGCGGTCTTACTTTGCACTTTTTGCGGTAACAGCGCATTCTCTTCTCCAGGTTTTTTCCCTTGCGCACGCATACGATGTCATCCGAACGCATGTCCAACGTAGGACAGTAATCGTGCTCGCCGTCCGCAATGAAAATGACTCGTTCGTAATTTACACCCATTTCACGCCTCTTCGTCATATAGTGCTCCAAAATGGTACGCTTGCACATATTGGGTGGGCTCAGTGGACATTTAGTGACATGGTATGGTCGTACATGCAGCCCATCGCTGGAGACAACGTAAGCAGGATTCGTGAAAATTGCTTTTATACATTTCGTTAGCTGATGATTGGCCAACCAGTCTTTAATGAAGATAGAATTGGCATCGCTTATGATGATGATGTCATATTTGGGATCACACGAGTCATGAAGATGCTGTACAAATTCCACGATACTTGGAACGGGCGGTATGGTCGCAATCAGGCGGCGTAGTTCGCCCACAGAGAATCCCATGGAGCGTAATTTATTGAGCAATATATTCGTGTAGTCGATCCAGCCAACTTTGGTGAAATTATCCTCCTTGGGGCGTCGATATGTAGGCAGTAAATCGCGGAGAAGATAGGTTGTGTCTAGCGAGGTCAGTGTCTCGTCGAAATCCAATACCAGTAATCGGCGTGTAGGTGGACCAAAAGCCATTTGGTTATTCTTTTTTGAAATATTATTATTTCTTATGTTACAATTAAAATTTTAGTGGGAAAATAATTTCATTTATTTACCTTTTATTGTGATTAGCCGAAAAATCGAATTTGCATTAAGAAACAAGTAATTTTAAGCAAAAAAAAAAACCGACTTCAATTCTCATATACAAATTTAAGAGTACCGTTACTTTCTTTATGATCCAATGATCGGATCTAAACCAAATTAGTATGGGAACACCTTCCTTTTAAAAAAAGGACTATAGAAATTGGAAAAAAATTTCGAATTGATAACGTTCTCCTTTTTTTTTGGAAGTTGGTTAAAAATGAGGTAGCAAGAATAAAAGGGAGTGTTTAAACACAAGCTAGTTTTTTGAACAGCATGGTTTCCAGATAATGTTATTTTAGATTTCTCTTTTACTAAAACTAGGTATGCACGGTAGGATAGGTCAAATTTTGTGTACTATGCGCGTATACATGCAGGCCGATTATGAACAGAAACTCCCTGGGAGTTTTCTCTCTTTTCCCTTTCCTCCTATCATGAATAAACATTACCTGAGGATTTTGTATATTAAATGGCAGAGTTGAGCTCTCCTCTCCAAAAAGTGTCAAACAGTTTTTTCGAAGTTCGAATTTCTTCCTCCCAAGTTTTCGGCGAAAATGCTACTCCTTGGAAGTTATTTATTGGAAGATTTCTTTCTCGGGAGAAACAAATTTCCGGAGGACAAATTCCCCGGGAGTATTAAGAATTGCCCTAATGGTTAATTCTACAACGAAAACCATAAAAATCAGAGTTTCAATCCCTGTGTAAAATTAAAGACAATTCTACAAAATATCATTAAAATAATGCAGTTTTAAAAAAGAAGAAAAAAGTTTGGTATGCGGTTTTTAGCCCATTAAATTTTAGTACGATAAAATGTAAATCTTAGGTAGCTAGGACTTACCATTGATTATTGGCAATTTTTTTTTGAAGGTGTCGCTCATTTCCTTAATATAATATAATGTTCCGCCGAAAACAAGCCAACAAAAAATTATGTAAGTCCGAGCTACCTCAGACTTGAACTTTTTTGTACTAAAATTTAATGGGCTAAAAAACTGCATACCAAATTTTTTTTAATGAGTAATGAAAAAGTACAATATTTCAATAATTTGCGGAATTTTCTTAAATTTTACACTCCTTTCGGAACCCTGATTTTTTGGGTTTTTGTTGTAGAACTAACCATATTTTTATAAAAATTTGCAGAAAAAAAAAAATTAAAAAAAAAAACATGTATATATATATATATATATATATATATAATATTTGCCCGTATTGCAAAAAACTTGCTGTACCTAAAATTTATTGACTGACTGTATATGATAACGATAATAGCACAAGGGGGAATGGCGATTGTCTTTTTATAAAAAGCTGTTTTTCATGGCAGCAATACACTCGGAGGTTTGCCATTGCCATGGTAGTGCGCACTTTTAAGGCCTGTATGCAGCTCTCAAGAAAAGCAAAAACTCCATATAAAATGACGTACAAGAAATGGCTAAGAAATTTTCGAGTCAAATTTCCTTATAAATAGGTATAAATATTTCCAGTGTAGGTGAGGAAGCCTTAAAACCGTGTTTTTTTAATTATTTAAGGAACTCTGTGCTTATTCTTTTTTCGAGGTTGGCAATGACGCTACTTCACATTCCCGATAGGGACGTTCCGATACCACGAAGTATCGATATCTATTCAAATGACTTTACTGAAATCCCTATTTCGATACTACTTATATGAGTGAACCGAATGTATCGATACCTACTTATATCTATAATTTTTCATCCTTTTAGATGCAACAAAGCGAAAGTAATTTCCAGGCGTTCTGTGAAATACCTTTTGCGACACCTGAGCGCCCTATTTAAGAATTTGATTGCAAAATGCTTTATCTCAGAAAACCTTTCCAGAACACTCTATTTAAGAAATCGGTTGAAAACCACCCTATCTCAAATATTTTCAATATATTTTCAGTTGAGGTATCGATATGTATATATGTTCATTAGTAACACTAGAAGTAATACGATTACTTAGAAAAAAAATTTTACGTTTGAAAGGTTCCCACAAAACGTTACTGCTACAAAGCATTGCTTTCATTTGTGGTATCACTAACTTTGTAAAAATATATCCACACTTTAGATTTTGGCGGTGCCATTGCTTAAAACAATTATTTTTCATAAAAACGAAGCAAATATTTTCCATAGAAAAATATGCCCAACAAGAAATGGCACTTGCTCAAATTGATTCGATACAAGTACTTATCTTTCGATACCGAGTAGGTATCGAAACAACGATTCGAGTAAAAAAAGTAGTTGGTATCGACACAAAAGTATCGAGTACGTACTCGTATTTACTTGTATCGAAACATCCCCAATTCCCGATCTGTCATCGTGTTTGTAAAATTCGGCTGCCATTTATAGTAGTTCTGCTGAAACATTTTAAGTAAGAAAACTGCTGTTTTAAAGGAGTTTTACATTAGAATTACCCAAAAAAAAAACGCAAAAAGTGTATAGCAGAGTTTCTTAATAACTTTATCAACAAAAGCCGCCTATTCCATTCTCGCATTTGCGGCATTGGTTTAGTTTTGTCAGCTAGGTACACAAAATATAATTGAACCATGGTGGACGCTGCCCGTCAAATGTTGGACGAGCTCATGGGCCGTAATCGAAATTTACATCCATCGGAGGCGCCACGTAAAATTAGTTGGGATGATCCTGATGTAAGTATGAGGACTAAAATCGTTTATAAAAAAATAGGCAGACGGCGTTGGTTGGTGCAAAATCGATAGCACATGCATGCGCAACGATAACCAAGCGCAGGCTATGAAGCATGTAACTACAAGTAACATTGAAATAATTCATCTTGTTTCCTATGGGTTCTTTGCAGTTTTGCCAATACTATGTTGTAAAATTTTGCCCACATGACCTTTTCATAAACACTCGCGCGGACTTGGGGCCGTGCACACAAATCCATGATGACGAGGCAAAAAGGTTGTACGAAGAAGCACGCCCGTCTCCTCGTAAGCGTTCTTACGAAGATGAGTTCTTGCGATTTTGCAACAACATGTTAAATGATGTTGATCGAAAAATACAAAAAGGCAAACAACGACTCCAGCTCATGCAACGCGATCAGCCCATACCCACCATACCGCTTTCCAAGTACGAGGAGCAGTTAAATAATATGAACGCACGCATAAAAAAGTTGCTATCCGAAGCAGAAGAAGCTGGCATTCGTGGGGATGTTGATCAGGCCAAGGACCTAATGGCTCTGTGCGAGCAATTGAAAGACGAGAAGGATGCACTAATGGCGCAACACGAGCAACATCAGCAGTTGCATCAGCAGACAAATGGCGCAATGAAAGATTCTATTACAAACTCCCCACCGCAAAGCATAGAGGGTGAAAAATCACCGAAAAATGAAGAGGGTGCTAGCACCAGTGGAAGTGAAAAGAAAATACTACCGTGGATGCAAGATTTGGGCACTCTACCTGAAAAGCAAATGGAAGTTTGTGAGATTTGTGGAGCTTTTCTAATTGTTGGTGATGCGCAACAACGCATCGAAGACCATCTCATGGGAAAACAACATCTAGGCTACTCCCGCTTACGCAAGGCCGTAGAAGAAATACACGAGCGTAGGCAAAATGATCGTGAAGAGGAGGAGCGCAAGAGGCGCGAAGAACGTGAACAACGCAGTGTACAGCGAAACGCTTTTGGTAATCATAATGATCGCAGGCGGTATGTATGGTTATGTATTCAGTTGAAATTACCATTTTCATATGTTTTTTAACAGCAGCGAGCATCACGATCATCGTGACCGCGACCGCGAACGTGAGCGTGATAATCGCGAACGTTCACGTGATCACAGTAGCCGACACTCGGCCGACCGACACCGTCGTAAGTCGCATAATTGGAAATATGACAGATTCTCCATCAACTGTTTAACATATTTTAATTTTGGATATAGATCATCATAAATCATCGCATCGCAGACGTTCACATTCGCGCAGCAGTCATCGACGCAGCAGCCGGGATCGTTATAGCCGCAGCCGGAGCCGTAGTCACAGCCGCTACTAATTACACACCAACAACACAAGTTCGTACGTGGCGGATTGAGGTACTCCAAAAAAAAAAAAGCAAACTATATAAACTTAAAAATCTAGCCTAATCTAATAAAAGAATACTCTCAAGTCGTAGAACAAGGTGAGTACAATTAACATTTTAACAGTATTTCTATTTAGAATTTATATATACAAGTATATTTTTCATATCAATGCGTACATTTAAAAAGAAAACGCGTGCTACATTATTTGGGGGTGTAATTAGTTTTGGGTGCTCAATAAGCGAAGCCCTCTTTCATCTAACATTACGAATGATTTGTGTTTTGTCTAGAATAGGTTGAACGTCACAATATTCATGAAACGTGAGCGCCTGAAGTGGTTGGTCAAACGCATATCGAATGAGTTAATTAGTTTAGCTGGTAAACGGTGCATATAGCAGATTAGTCGCAGTGTCAACATAGGATTCACTGTAGAAAAATAGAAACCTGCATGCTTTTTGGGCTTTCCGCAAATTTCAATAAAAAAAAACTGAACAATTGAGTAGTCCACTTGCAAAGTGCCCTATGTAAATTTGTTTCGATTTTTAGTTTTTGGTGGGTAACGTACCAGTATTTTAAATAGTTTCATGTTCACAAACAATTCAGTGCAAAATCTTTCTATATTCTGAAAAAATAGCATCAAATGTTAATTACTCTTGCAAAAGTCGCTATAATACTTACATATGTATGTATTGTACAATTTCAAGTCTCCATCTTCTGATGAACTTAGAAAACTGCAGGAAAACGTGGTAGTTTCGGTGCCTAGTGCAAGACGTCTTAAAAAAGAAGCAGACCAACCTTCATGGAAGAGAGAACGCGAAAAGCTAAAAAAAGCTAGCTATGTAAAAGTTACTGTTTCAAAACTCGCTATATTAAATTTTTATATAAGAAATTTGCAAAAACTACCACACTGCGATTTTGTTTTTTTAATTTAGGCTCTTATTTATCCAAATATTCAGATAATAAAAAGAAATATACAAGTTGGGTGTTACTTGTTGTTGTAGACGTTTTTTTTTTTTATTAATTTATGGCTTACTATTATTTTTATAACGCTGTTTGCACATAAGTGGACTACTAAATTAAATTAAATATTTTAAAATTCCCCGAAAGTTTAAATTCGGTGTAGCAAACATATTTCCCTAGTTATTTTTATTTTATTGCAACATTATTAATGTATGTAGAATTGGAAAAAAAATAAAATTAACTTTTAATTGTTAGGCGGAGAGACATTCATGCACATTGAAGTCGTTGCAGCGTAACTGCAACGCCGTGTCAGCGCATGCTCTACCTATGCGACTCCACTCTCAGCTGGCTTTAATTGTCACAAAATGCCACCATTAATTGCCGTAGGTTGCGTCATTGTCAGAGTATAAAATCCGTTAAGTTGGCTGCGTCATTTCGAGGTACATTTGAAGCAAAATTAAAAAAAAAAAAATAATAGATTAAAAATTATGTTATTGCAAGGTAGTTGGTTTTAATTTTTGAGTTCTTTGTTTAACTTTTCATAGCGTAAATTCACTTACAAAGCGATGATAAGTGACTATAGTCGGTCGCATACACATATACACGAGCGACTGAATGTCCGCCCGAACCCAGTTTAGTAGCGACTACAAGACCAGTCCCCTCCGAACAAACTCGATTACAAGGTACTTTTTGGATTTTTTTCAAACATGTAGCATAAAAAAAAACATAACACTTAACTAAATGACAAAACCAAATCAAAAGAAGCAAATTAATACTCGTATTTTTCGTACTGTATGTTCTGGAAGTCAACATTTGAAGATTACCATACCAATAACGTTTGTAGAATTTAAGTGACCCGCGTACGCATTCGTTCGTACGCCAGTTCGTTACTTCGTACAATACGCTCAATAAACTACGCACACATTCACCCACATCGAGGTAATTGTTTAAACAAAAACTGAATTTTGCAAATTGCGTCTTCATTCTTATTTAGTAGGAAAAAAAGATTTTGTGTGTTGGGAAGTTAAAAAAGTAATGTGGTGGAAGTAAAGGGATTGAAGTTGATGTGTGATTTAGTGGAAAACTCAATTTTTTCATACCCGCTTTACAAAGGTAACAATAATTTATGATACGGCTAACTTGTGTTGTTTTCTCGTATAATTTTTAAATAGTCAGTAAGTTATTCAATTATGTGAAATATTCTTATTCTTTTCCATATACGAAAACGTTGCCATTTACGAAAACATAAAAATATGAATTCTAGACTAAAATTATTTAAAAAAACTTTATCAACCTTTTTCGGCACAAAAAAAAAATACTTGTTTAAATGCGCCACGAAAGTATTTTTAATAAAATATGTTGAGCGAAAATTAAATGAACAACAAATATTTTGTTAAAACCGAAATTCTCATCTAAAATTTTTTCGTTGTTAGTAACAAACTCTGCCTGTGTGTATTGCATACTTTTCAGCGCCACAAAGCATCTTTTACATGTCTATTCTGCGCTGATAATACAAATTTTGGTAACCGGTAAATAAAGTTGCTGTAAATTTTTAAACCCTTTCAGAGCTGAATTGCTGTTTATATTGACAACGTAATTAATATTATGGTTACAAGTGTGCCAACATTTTTTGGTAATAAAATTTTCCCGGTTACAAAATTATGGGTAACGCGCAGAATAAACATGTTAGAGGCATTTTGAAATTCAGCTTCCGTTCGTTTAAAAAAAAAAAAACTTTCGTGGCCAACGCTGGCACAGCGCATTATTCCCTACCTCATAATTCCTTTAAGCAAACAATTTTATCTTTACTCTCCCTAATTCAAGCTATAAAAGAAAGCTTATTATTATGTGATGGTATTTTGTTTTTAGCAGCTAATAAATCGAAGTATTCGCAAAAACTTTCACAATACTGTGCACTTTTACAGAAATCACCCGCGAAAAGACAGTGCATCAAAATGGAACTATAATCACAACGCCCTCTAAAAACAATCACCAACTGCTTCCTTTGTTCCTGTAGTCCGCGTGACTTCAGCTGCTGAGCCAGTCATCAACAAAGAGTGAACTTATTGCAGGTAACAGACACCTTCCAAAAATCAACATTTTTTTTCAAACACAAACAGCTGTGCACAGCAGACGAGCAATTATTTGCCCTAATAATAAATAACAGAAACAACAGCCAAGTACTTATAATCCCCAACGACAACAGCCGTCAGCAACACCGTACACGTGAGCAACCAAAGGCGCTTGGGCCGAGCCGGCAGCATGCCCGTTAGGCCGCGATATAGCCAAAAAAGAGGTGAATTTTTAACTATTGAGTTTATGCTTGAGTTTTCTAATGCGTAATTTTATAAACGAAAAAGAAAAGCAAACAAATTGGCAAACGGTAAATCGCTACCAACTAATTTATCTACTTCATTATTTTTCTAATTATTGTAACTTTTGAACTTTTTTGCAATTAAGCGCGATTTTTACGTTAAAAACAATATTTGAATATTTTTAAAGCGAAATGAATTATTATGAACATGTATTGTTACTGATTGAACTGGTGTTGTTTCTCATTTTGAAATTTAAGTTTTTAATTTATAATTTAAAGTACTTATTAGAGGCAAATCAAATCAGCATATTGCGCGATTTTTATATGAAAAATTACAAAAAAGTTAAAAAGCTAAACAACTTGTAACAAAATATTACACATGTAGGCGCTTTTCTCGTTGTACAAAATGACCGTTTACTTATTAAAAAAAAAAAAACCTGCGCAGGCAAAAGCAAAAAAGAATTACCCGGCTTCGTAGGTATTAATTAAAGTAGCGGAGTAATTTATCAAATACAGCTGGTTACGAAAATTTTCAATAAAATATGCGAATTCGAAGCAAAAACATGGCGAATATTGTATTATTTTGCTTCATTTTCATATATGTATGTGAGTTGCAAGAAATGAAGTTATATCCGGCTGAGTGCTGTGACTTCAGAAACATTTCCACCAAAATTGTTTTGTTGAATTTTTATGATGCTCTCACAATCACAACAATAAGTGCATTTAGCTGAATTGCACTTGAATTTAATTTAAATTTAAAAAGTTCATAACCTAGTAAAAATTACGGGTGAGTATGTTTATCCATTGTCGGACAATTCGGCGACCATAAATTAATTAAAAACGCCAGAAGTTGCATGAAAACTCTAATTTATTGAAATCGAAATTTTTTTATTATATTATTATTTTTTTATTTATTTCAAAGATTCTCAATGACTAGTCACGTACATAGAAATGATTTAATTTCTTATATATGCGTGACTTAACGATTAGTTTACTTACTTGACATACATACATACATTTAACGTTTTTTTTTTATTGTTATAAAACGGGTTAATTATTAATTAAATCATATAGCACATTTGCTGCACTAGTGCCATAATCAAAAACTCGAGAAAAACAGCTGTTTACATATCGCTAGCTTAGAGTGAAAAGTTGCTAAGTCCAGTTTTTATACGTAATAATTACCGCAATACTGCAGCCTTGTTGCTTTCTTGATAATATGATGCTGATGCTCAACTGAAAATCTTCTGAAATGCTACAGAAATTACGCAGTAAAAAATTGTATGTTGATTTTGACTTGGCCAATGATGAGCAACTGATGTAGGCAGAGTCGCCCAAATTTTCGCGTATAGCGTGATTCTTTTCCATAAAAAGTAACATTGCCGCATTAATTGCAACTCGAATACACCCATATTCTCCTTATCAAGCTTCTTAATTGTATGATGAAATCTCAAAAAAAAACGTAAATTTTGAATTACATCTCTTTATTAAACGTGCGATATACAGTATTGGTCCTATCTATAGCACGCCATTTCAAAGTGATATTGTGTGCAACTTATGTTTATTTATTTATTTTTGAGAATTTTCAATTAAAATACAGTTCTTTCTCTAATAAACCCCATATAAACCCAAGTTTAAAAATTTGTAGAAAACTTCAAAAAAGTGCAACAAATTTTCACCTAAATTTCAAACTTTTTTATCGGAAGTGTTTGAATTTTTCTGAATACACAGTTTTATAGCCTAATCAATTTTAGTCTGATAATGTGCAAGTTTCAAGTGACTAAAAGTTACCGTTGATTTTTTAGAATTTCTTTCCCCAATGGTGTTGCGGTTTTTATCCATATATAAATAAATTGAGTTTATTCATTATATGAAAGTTAATGCGACAAAAAAAAATTCTAAAAAATTAACGGTAATTCGTAGCCACTTGAAATTTGCATATTATCAGACTAAAATTGCAGTGGCTAAAAAACTGTGTACTCAAAAAAATTCTAACACTTCCGAGAAAAAAGTTTGAAACTTAGGTGAAAATTTGTTGCCATTTTTTGAAGTTTTCTACAAATTGTTAAACTTGGGTTTATATGGGGTTTGTTAGAGAAAGAACTATATTTTAATTGAAAATTCTTACAAATAAATATATAAGCATAAGTGGCACACAATATCACTTTGAAATGGCGTGCTATAGATAACACCAATACTGTATGTATGTACATACATTAGGGTGCACATCGAAAAGTTTTTTTTTTTCAATTTCAAGACCCTACCTCTTAATTTTCTTCCTTTTTATGAGAAATACTATTTCCTATTTTTATAGATTTTTTAAAAATCATTAAGAGGTCGCGACTTGTCATTTTAGGTCAGAAAATATGGTTTTGTAGATATATCAGTCTTTGAATGACTATTTTTCATTAAATTTTAAAGATCGAGCATGTTGTGAGAAGTGGATTTATAGGCCTTTAAAATGATGTATAATAATCTATTGTCAGACTTGGATTGTTGGGAGTTTTCATCGGGCAAATAAAAAAAAACACCTTTTTTTTAATTTTAGTTTTTACCATGGCTAAATTCCACAAATTAAAAATATGTAGTACTATCTAAAATTAAATTTATTTTTCAATCGCATAAAAATTGTCAAAGTTTGACAACTCTTTTTAAATACAGCCTTGTATTTATATGTGTGTATTAACCAGATTTCCGATTTTTGAGCAGTGTGGCTAAGAAATTCATCAATATTTATTCAAACTTGATACATAAAATCGCTCTTTAGCAAAAAAATTTCAACAAATTTAGTCGAGATTGGTGAAGTAGTTTTTGAGTACACATATATAAGTGGGCAGTGCCACACCCATTTTCCAAAATTTTTTTAAAAAAACCAATTTTTTTGCTAAAGAGCGATTTTATGTACCAAAAGGGCAGCTCTAAACGATTTTGAAAAAAAAAAAATGCAATAATATTTCTCATAAAAAGGATAAAAACTAGGGGGTTTTCAAATTTCAAAAAAAAAAAAAAATTCCATGGCCACCCTAATATACATATGTTGTTCTAGTGAGTTACTGGTAGTCGGTACAGCTATGAAATTTTTACACAGAGCAGGTAGCGGTTATTTCTACATACTAACAATTTTTTTTTTTTTGTTATGGCACTTGCAGCAAATGTGAGATATACATTTTTCATATCTCATTCAAGGTAGCCTCAAACAGATGCGATACTATCGGTGCGAAACAAATATTTAAGATATGCAATCAATACGGTATATGGGATGTACAGATGTACATATCAGAACGATACGATGCGTTAAAAAATTGTATTCTAGTAAGCACGATTGATCGAGCGATAGAGTGGCTTGTTCATTATTCAATTCTGAAATTAAATGAATAATTTAACTCGTCAATTATTACCCCATATTAACATAACGAAGATGAAGCACCACAGTGTATTGTATCGCGCCAGTTTACGGGATTTTGCTTTTTATAGTTATCGCATCTGTTTTTGGCCACCTTAAAGCGGTGTTTTTTTCTCAATAAGACAATCATTCCATTTGTTTTTTTTTTTCAATAGAATAAGAGTGGTATAATTTTGAAAGAGGGCATCATACCGACCATTTCCGCTTAACAAAGTTATATTCC